AGGAAAGCCAGCTCATGGGCGTAGTCCGTCAATTCCAGATCTGTCCCACCACGCTCAAAGACGTCGGTCTTACCATCGTCAACATCATTCTCTTGCTCGTCTTCGGTCGCGGCGATAGCCATGTAGTGTTGTCTTCGGGTTTCCGTTGGGTCTCTCGTCGAGTTGCGCTCGTCATCTTCAGCTTGTGCTAAACCGTAGTCAATTCCGCTGGGGTCGAACACCGTCGCCGCTGAGTTCGTTACTTCGACCTCAGCTATAGTACCTTCCAACAGTGATACCTCTGGTAAATCATAGTTGTCGTCCGCGTCAGGGCCCGTATTCGCTGAGTTCACTGCGATGGCCGATTCCATCTTATTTCAATCTACCTCCATTGAGCAATGTCTCCATTGCTAAGGCCATCAAAATTTGTGGCGGCCGGCTATTTATACGCGGAGAACGAAGCTCAAATAAAATCGGAGGCGCGCGAGTTGCCTCTGCTTCTATCCCTATGTGCAGGAAAAAAGTGTATGGGACTTTGGCAGAGTTGTAGTGTATACAGCAGATTTTGGATCCAGTGAATAAGGTACTTTAAAAGGTGCACAATATCAAAGTTTTGCCGTTTCAAATTCTGTACGGTTTGAATGATGTAGGGAATGGGGCTTGTACATGGTAATGGGAGCAAGCGCTGGCCACGCTAGCATCTCAATAGGCGGAATAAAATCGCTTTGTGGCCGACCTCTAAAACTAGACATCGGCATCGTACCCCCCCCCCCTGCTAGTATCGTCCAGTTAGAATTGCAAGGGGCATGTCCATCTTCGATACGGTTGGGATCTCTACAAACATCACTGTTACCGTAGGGTGCACCCTCCTAAACTCCATGTGGGCTGTTCGTATCAGTTGCCACTGGCGTTTGCAACGTCACTTCATCGCCCGAGGGAGGTTCACGATGGAGTTGATGTTTCTTACGCGCCCGTCTACTCATAAGTTTATTGCCGTACCAAGTGCCGATACCAAGAATTGATCTCGCTGCGCCTACATGAGAGCACACATCAAACTTTAAATGAATAGCACAACCACATGTGTTGTACTCAGCACCCACGAGCCGCCCATCTTGAGGCATATTGACACGGCGTGCACGACGGGTATACTATTTTACACTATCACGACACAGTCGAGAGGCTTTGCTTTTTCCACTTTTTCTAAAACCTAACAAAGTTTAAATGGATCGTCCTCGCTTTCAAACATGTTGGTTGCTAGACGTCGCATAGTTTCCATCGCAGTGGCGCCAAGATGCACCTCCCAAATGGCATTCGGCATCTTTTCTCATCGATCGTACGAGCTACAAGCACATCCTTTGTTTTCAGTATCCGTTTTGCCGCCTTCTTGATCTTGCCGTTTGGGGTCGCGAGGGATGTTGTCGGTGGCGGGACGTCGGGCTCGACATCCGCAGCCAATCTGATTATACTTTGCAAAAAAGCGCACAAGTCACTCGTTTTGCGGTGAATATGCCTTATCACAGTTGCGCTGAATACACACGCCTTATTTGTTATAGCGTAACTTCAAGGATTATGAAAAATTGCCATCTCCAATATATGCCTTCCATCCTCTGCACGTCTACGTACTTTGCGAAGGTACTCAGACACGGCTCAGACTTACAAGCCGAAAACATCCGCTCCTTTATTGCGCAACACTCAGTGCAACTAGTCGATCAATGAATATACATTTATACCTGTTAAAAAGGCGTCCCCTGGTCCAGTTTCAAGATGTCTTGTTCTCTTGTGCACGTTGTAAAGTACGTCGAAAAAGCACATCAAATATTGACTGTCGCTGAATGCAGCTACGGTCCAAAGTGCAATAAATTGCGCGTCTTCGGCATCGTCAATGACGGCATCAACACTAAGAAAGGTTTGGATAGTGTTTCGTATACTCTGACGATGCTGTCAGCTGCAATTTAGTACTCACTAAGTGTTCGAGCACTTACGATCACTTTTGTGGCAAGGTGATAGATTCTTGATCGATCCGTTAATCTATGCATGCCGACAGGATAACGTAAACCGCTCAGTTTAAAATAGACGAACATGTTCACTCCCATGAAGCTGGTTTACATTTGTTAGCAAATTTGGTGTTGTCACACCTAAATCAAATGGGTCTTCCTCACTGCCCTCCCCGATCCGTGGATATCCATCACCATCATTTACAGGTCTAAATAGAAAGGCCTTGTCACTGTCGATGCCTTCAAAGTAAGGAAACGCTTTTGTCAGTCTCTGCACGGCTTTTCTTGTATTCCGAGATAAGTTTTTTTTTCGGAGCCTCTTTGCTGAGTCTAATGTCTGCTGCCGCGATGGTAGCCCTAGCCGAGGTTGTACAACGTCAGCTGCACGACGAACGTTACTCCAAATATTGCGTGATCGTACGCCGCATGAATCTATTCTAGGAAAACCTTATTTCGCTTCGTCTGCTATCGGTATGTGATGTCGTCCAGCGCATTCTTCCTCCTCCTCTAAAGTGTTCTGTTTGCCATTACAATATCACAATCCCATGCTTCCCCTGCAAGCCACACTGCTCACATACATATATCTCCTTTGTTTTCCCACGACGGGCTGATACACCCCAGTCGTCTCTCAATCATGGTCGGCGTTACATATTTGCAGCTCATCTAACGCTTTATGTAAGCACCGGGACAGCAGAAACTGATGCTTCACTGCTTGACAAAGTCCGCTTTCGTTGCGTGCTTCGCGAAACGTGTCCACGAATGGCTTGGCCTCCTTCGGGATTGCGCTTGTCGTCACTTAGATATGCACGGGTGGAAGAATGCCGTGCCGGGGGTCAACTGGGATAAAATCGGTTTATGGCTAGCAACTGAAGAGCTGGATGTGCAGGGGGTCGCCCGCTCTAGCCAATCCAAATACACAAGAGCTCGACCGTTCGAGCAAACCTGCAAGCGACCGATGCGGGTTATATGACCGGTCGAGTAGTTGAGCATACGGTCGAGTTATTTAGCACGTGGTCAAGCTATTGCGCATATGGACCAGGTGTTGCGCATGTGGGCGAGTTAACCGGCATCCCAAATGCAAGCCGACCACTCGAGTATACTACATGCACAATAAAAGAAAAAAAAACTCCCGGCAAACGCACAGTACCGTAAATACGCATCACAATTTCTTAAATTTGTTGAAGCGTATCGGGTAAGTTGGTGCGTTAGTTGGACTTCTTTGGTAAATTTGCTTTTGTACTTCACCATGTCAAAGGATCAAGCGACGTGTGGCGGATGCACTTTCGCGACTTAAGACCAAGCCTGATCGCTCTGTGCCCGTTACGCCGTGCGACGCAACGTCACGTCTGGTGGTGGTACCCAAGTGCACAACATCGTGCACACCTCACACAATCTCGGCTATGGCGCTGGGAAACCTACCAGTACGTGGCCTCGGTCTGCTTTGTGGGACAGCAGTTTTTTTTTTTTTTTTTTTTGGGGGGGGGGTTGGAGGAAAAAGAACAAAAGCCATGAAAGTCCAGGACACCATCGAAAAGCCGCTGCTATCCAATAATAACAGAGCGCTCTCCTAGAGCGCTGCTCCTGCAATACATGTAGAGCACCAGGTGGCAAGATGCGCTGTTCGCTTTTCTGGAGTTTCGGTGCGATGAAATATCCACTTCGTCCGGGTGTTCGGCAGAGAGCTAGGCGGAAGCTTAAATAATAAACTATTTAACGGCGGCTTGGTCGCTGCGTCGAAAGACAAGCTTTATTATAAGGGTCGCGTGATTAGCTAATTTAGTCTGCAGTTAACAATGTGTCAACAGAGTTGACAATTGACAATTTCGATTGTCCACACCGGGTCGTCAAGCGTAGATTATACGTACATGTATGCTGCTGCTAGCTGACGCGGTATGATAGCTGCTTCGTAAAAAAAGCGTGAGAGAAATATATAAATATTTTCCAGTGTTTTGTGCACAACTTGAAGGCTACTGGGTCCATCCAAAAATTGACTCCCAGCAGTTTTGGCTAAAACTTGCCGTTTGGGAATCTCGAATTACAAACGCACTCGCAAATCATTTGACTGAATCCGGTGACTGGTCAAGATTGTTCTGACTGAAAAACAGCCGAAAGCATTTCGCAAACAGGGTCCGATCCCACGAACGGTGCGTCCCGGTTTTACCTGGAGAAGATTCATGACTGACATCGTTGTGGCAAGAACAGCGAACACGGTGTCCAACGAAACTAATCTAGGCACAATGTCACGTAGGAAAATTAGAAAACTGGTTTAAATAGTCAAAGGTACTTAATACCTAGTAAAAAAATGTTGTGCTGTTCTTTTCGTATGCTTTGTGCTGCAATAATGTAAAGGGTTTCAGAACCAGAATCTTGGCCAATAATGACGACTCTGCGAAGTTGACGCGGCATAAGCATAGACAAGCGTGTACTGTAATACTGTACATGTTTCACTTGCATGTGTGAGGGCTCGGGTCTGTAAAGAAGACCGGAATTTTTTTCTCCTAGCAAAAGAGTAAGAAGTCATGGAAATTTCTTGTTGGGAACAGAGGATGTTCATCCCGCAGAGCGCAAGTTCTGCCAGTACAGCAGTTGATAAATGTTCTCCATCATAGGCTCATTCATGCGCGGCGGGTTCCACGTAAAGGAAGTCATTGCTCATGTGCTCAGCTAAGCACTGCGGGAAGGGTTTCGGGTGATTACGGGTCGTCCATCCTGGATGATGGCAGTGTTCGTGGCTCGATATACTCGAGCGGCTAGGTCAAACTAAGGTCCCGGTAATACTTGGCCAGTTTTAGTTCTAGTCGGAACGAGAAGTATCGGCCACATTTAAGCAATGTTGCGCAGTGTACTGAAGTCTGAAGTCCAGTCTAGCGGTTCAAGTACAAAAATTAGTCTTTGGTGCTTGCAAGCCTGACAATCAACACCATGCAGTTAAACCGCAAGCTGCAGCTTTACAGTATATCCAGTTGTGCTGTACATGTATTAAATCATTAATACTGGTACAGAGTGATACATAATCATGTGAGTCAACTATTCACGCTACATCACCACGACACTGCAGTAGAGTAGAGTAATACGAGTTATTATACCATACTGGTTGAGTGGACATACATTCATACATGTAGCAGACGAGCGCTCACTACAGTAAATATTAAAACATTTAGGCTGCACATTACCCTGAACCACCATGTCGATTGATGCTTTTCAAAAGTCACATCATCAAAATTGCAGACGAACAACACGACTATTAATACAATCAAACGAGATCCATGAACATGAAACTAATACATGAACAAGAATTAACACCACTTCGAACTCAGTACTGATGACATGGAAACCAAACAAGTATTGCTTTCGTTTTCTTATTTATATTTCTATGAGAAAACGACGAATACTACATGTTTATCTACAGCAGTGCCTTCACAATTCTGCCATTCAAAGGCTGCACCGGACGAGCGTTCTTTCCGTCGTCCGTCATCCGCAGCTTACCTGCAGGCGCTCCAGGTCGCCCGTCGACACGTCCACAGTCTTCTTCACCACCCACCAGTCCACGATCTCGCTGCAACCAGGCGTCGTCAGACTACCAGCGCAGTTGAACACACCCTGTGCGTCCGCCGCCTTGTTCACCAAGTCAGAGTACGGTGCCAACGTGGCAGACGCCGTCGCGTTCGCGCTCACACGGTCCATCGCGTCCAGTACGGATACCACCCACGGGTCACTCGCTCCTTGCACAGCCTTAAAAAACACACCCGTCACGAGCAGAGCTGAGCTGTCGGCGTTGCTATGCACGAAATGCACCTCACCGCCCAGGTACTGGCCGTTCAAAGTGTGCTCCGATGGCACGTGCATGTGGAACTGCAGCATGTTGTATGACGCGCCATTGGCTGTCGCCGTGCACGAGCCGCCGTCCACAGTTGCCTCCGACTGCGAAACGTTGAACTCGGCACGAACCGCTGAAGGTGCGCGAACGTTGCTCGGAGCTGCATCCGACATTGGTGTCGATATCGATAGGAGACTGGCGCTGGCCACCGCAAGTTGGGTAGCTCTCAACCCATCGGTCGGGTGAGGCCATGCTGGTGTCGTTGGCCTTGTATCCCCACGGTCCTTCTCCAGCCGCAGCCACGTTAGTGGCAGTGAGTGCACAGGCGGCAATAGCGACAGCGGCGAAGAGCTTCATTGTGTGGATGGAATAGATCGATTTATCGATAGGGCTGATGACTGCGCTGTTCGAATGCAAAACCGGAACTGAGACTTGGAGCTCGATGTACAATTGTGCTGCTCCATTGGACGTCGGACAGAGGAGTTCTTAGTTGTGGATCACGATGTTGCACTCATTCAATTGACCTCTGTTGCTCTAAAAAGCAACTCGCTGACAGCACTGGTTTTCGTATGGCGAGCTTTCGGCCAAAGCGCACGATATAAAAAAAAACGTCAGACAGGAGTAGAGGATCCCTGAAAAATACGGACTTGCAAGGCCTGAACCATCTCAGTTCATCTACAAGTATCCGATGGACCAAGAAGTTTACGGACATTGTACTCCTCTTTACACACGTATGGTATTAATAGAAATGGGGAAAGTGATGGCAGGCCAGAGACGTTGCGAAGAACTCTGCTTTGGCTCTGCAAGTTGCCGTTTCAAAACAGACTAATGACGATCTTCCATCCAACAACTTGTCAGCTTGATACGTCAATACATGTGTGTACAGGCGCTTGCTTCCTGAAGATTCACAAGAAAAAAGCCCTCGACACCATATAGTAGGGAGGTAATTGTTCCACCGCTGGTACCCAGCAATGCGAATGGCAATTTTCTCAACTGGCGTATGGTCATTTTTTTTACATCTGGCCGATGCTTGTCTGCAATGCATTTGTCACTGACAAATTGTCAGGCACCTTACGGGGTAAGTCTAAGCACTGTGGTGTGCATAACGCAAATACGTCAGCGGATGCCCGCGATAGGAGTTACCACTCGAAAGTGGCTCAGCTCTTTTCATTTCTCGAATTTCGGAGCTCAAAGTCGCACCCTGAATTTGTGTGTCAGGGTAATTTTGGAGAGCCGTGACCTCGGTACCCATTACAATCTGTCCAATGCACGCCAGCGCCACTGAAGGCCATATCCGTACGAGAATTCTTTTAGAGCAGAAAGCATTTTGATTTGCTAACCTACAGGTAATTCGTTCGGACAGCCCACAGACAATTACAGGCTGCGATTTACAGCCAGGCCGCTAATTTACTAAGACTTTGCGGCTTCATGTAGATCTGGGAGATCGCTACTGACGTGATACTTGACGGCATGTTGATAGCATACCGGTCCATAGATTCTCTATATTATTATTTTATTACTTCGAAGTATTTAATAAGAATTTATAACCGTCGTGTAGCTGAGTGCTTCGTACAGAACAGGACGGCAAAACCGCAGTTAGCGAAGGTGACAGTCGCGGGCCAAGACAAAAGGAAGAAGTCGAGCGTAGTGAGCTTAGTGGATTGGTTAAGACAGCAACAAGTTGACGGGAAATGCTCATGTTGGTGTGACGTCACACGAGTTGTAGGCGTTCGAGGCTATTATAAACTATGAGTTTGTTAACAATCTCCGTAACTGCAGTCTCCAACAGAACCACAGCGAGACCAACCAGTATCGCTCACTACAGGATTTGCTTGGCACTGATCTGCTTAATCGACACGCGAGACTTCGTCATCATACATGTACATGTATCTAGAGGGGGTTTGATCGTCCAGTCGAAATACGATTAAACTCTTCCAGTGCCTTGGCACCTGTGCTTAAGCTCCATGGCGCTAACGCAGTATCACTGCTTACGGTGGCTACCACGACTGTTTCGAGGCAGTAAGAGAGCTTCTGGGCGTCATTTTTGACCATGAAGGCTCGCGAGATCAGCTTTTTGGCGACATTGCAGACTATGCACTTACTAGGTAGCGATTGGAATCGGATCGACTCGATGTTACAAGTATATATACACGTCGAGAATACCGGTATAACAACTCTCTAAACACCTCCTGGAATCACAACGCTGCTGTGATTTCAGGAGGTGCTTGAAAATATGAAAAGTTAAAATGCTACTATCGATCTTTGTTCACCTTGTTTCATCTGCATCAGCTCCGAGATGACGTATCCTTGATTTGGTTTTGCTAATATTTGGCTTTACAAAGCTTTTGTCGTTTATCACTGGGGGGGGGTCCATGTTTGTCGTAGCTCGATTAATTCGAGCTAGCCAAATCAAGCGCTCGTGGTCGATTTACGACAAATCGACATCGATATCTTTTAAAACGACCATTTTTGCTTTTTTTGAAACGCAAATCGAGTGCAGATTTAATAATTCTAGGTCTGCTTATTCTAATCTCAGTTTCACGCCTTTCATCTGCAAGGCACAATACTATTCGAAGACTTTCACGATTTGATCATATCACGCAGATTCAACTTTAAAACAGTAGAATACTGTAACTATTTTCCTTTTTGAAAAAGTTGAATAACAACCATCCGAAAACTATCATTGCCAAGTCTGATACTACTCTGACCGCACAAAAATAAATGATATCATTGGCTATTATTAGGCTAAGAATAGAGATTTGCTATTTTCTACATAATACGTGTCAGCTGTGCAGATAAGCATGATGTGCTGCCGTTAACGGCAGGCACAACAAATGTTGATGTTGTCAACATCGCTATCAAATGCCAGCCAGCTAAGTCGCCCGATATTAACGTACTCGAATTGGGTCTGTTTAACTTGCTACAGTCAGCTCAATACCGCACACCAACGTACTGTAGCTCTTGCTTGCGCTCACATTTGAAGGGGTAGGTACTAGCAAACCGATCGCAAAGCATGATCGCAAAATGAGATGCGATCGCAGCTGTTCAGTTTTTGGAAGTCTTCCAATCCATCAGGAAGATTTGATAATTCACACCAATACAAAAATACATATGCGAAATTTGACGCTGCTGCCTATTAAATAGTTTACTGGATATTACGGGTTAAGGTATTCCCAGCATTAATTATGCTTTCACTTCATAAGGTGAAGGTCGATAAATGGCTGTTTTTATATTAGCATTAGTTTCATTAACATATTCCCAGTGTACTAAACTACACGTCGGTGAACTTGTTATCTTGTGAGCCCATCACCACGGACTGATCTTCTGGTATTTCAAGGTGAAAGAGATCACAAAGAGTTCGAGAGCTCATTCCCTGAAACTTGCTATTATCGCGTTGCAAGTGCGACCGGGTTGGTAAAAACGCCACATCCGAAGTAGCTGCCACGCTTTCGTTCATGCGATCCGACGTAGTTAGGAGCGTTGATGTCGCTAGAAGAGGGCGGGGTGGCAAGTAAGTATTAGCAGTGGTCCCGTCGTCCTCTTCGTCGTCCTCACTTAGCAGAAGTAGCGGGTGATGATGATGAATCAATATCGAGTGCTCAGTACATACACTCTTGCTAAGATCATCACTCTGTGCGATAGCAACCAGCTTGAGAAGCTGGGCGTACTCGATTTGCATCCCCTTCAGCTCGAACAAGAGTCTGGCAACGCTGCTGAATCTAAAGCTCGACAGATGCAAGCCACAGACTCGCAACACTATTCGCATCTTCTCCATATCAATAAACCCACTTCGGGTTTCATCATGACACTGTAATTCCTCGTGCAAATCTCCAATTGACATTTTTTGCAGTTGCATATTTTCGCGCAACAGCAGTGCAAATTCCGAACGCAGCTCGACGATTTCCCGGAAATGGGTCACAACCTCACTCAACGTTGTGTCATCCACACTAAAAATGCTGCTGACCAAGACAAAGCTCCGGAATATTTGTGGCTGCAACACCAGAGTATTCAGAGCTAGAGACAGTGGGATAACGAGCACCTCTACAAGTCCTAAGTCGCCGTAAACAGCCTTGATTTGGTACACCACACACTGCACCACCAGCGCCAGATAGAAGCCATTGAGCATCAAAAGCATCATCACTGTGAAGTGCCACGACTCTCGAGAAAACCAGCGAATGTCGATCCCCGGAGTGGACTCGGACTTGCTTTTATTGGTGCCATGCTCTTTTCTATGTCTCAGCTCTTGCACCTTTTGCATGGCCAAGAGAGCTTTGCCTGCATCCTCTTGGGTCCAGGCTCGTGCTTCTTCGCGTGCAATGGCTCGGAGGCGACTCGCTAACGTGGATTGGTCAGTCGACAGTCCAGCAGCCTTAAGTAGCTTCTGTACGCACGATCGGAAGTAAGCGAAAACTACGACATGTAACACCAGTAGCGCCCACGAAAAGCCTATCAGCACAAGGACAAGGCCACGACGCCTTGCTAGCCTTGGCTCGCCATAAGTTAAGGCCATTGTGATTCCCTCCAGAACCCAAGCGACGCTGAGTAGAAGAACCCACATTGGTGCACCCACCTCGGTCATGTGGGTGATCTGGTTGTTTTGCGCCTGCCGAAGGTACTTGGCAAATGGAAAGAGTTGCGGCAACTCGAAGCGAGTGAGAAACATATGGCGCAACAAGCGCAAGTGAACAAGCTCCTGTGTCTCTTTAGTTGACGACGACAGTGCCAAGTCCTCGGTGGAAACATGCTCCGCTCGGTCTGCTTGGACGTTGTGTCTTCGCAGAACGAGGAAGATGCAGACAGCCTGCAAGATGAGGGCCAGCGCTAGGATGAAAATGGTCAAGTCTGCGACCTGAAAGGCTGTCATGGCTGCACTGTTGCCGTCGACACTAGATAATTCCTTGATCACTTTAAGGCCGAGTCCGATGAGCCCGAGGATCATTAACTCGCGATACGCTTTGCTCAGCAGCTGCTGATACTTGGTCGAGACGGCAGCATGTCGTTCCAAACGGTGAAGCAGACGCTCAAATAGCAGCAGACACACCACCAGTACGCTCAGATGTAGTAAAACACGCCACAGCTCGACGTTGTCCCCAACTCGAAAGAGCGACGTGCCTGCCATGTTGTGAAGAAGAGAAGATCGAGAGTAATATACTACTCCCGACCCTTCATGGTTGTGCTATTTTTAGCGAGGACCACATGTACTTCATAGAGAGCGAGCTACTATTATTAAGACTCGTGTTGGGCGTGTAATTGGGCGAACTATTATTATTAAAAATCGTGCTCAGCCGTGTAATTGTAGTAAATCTGGTTCTCGTACTCCGAGCCGCAGAAAGGGAACTCCGTATCATCATCCGTGGGCGTAAACAGACTTTTGCCAGTCGTGTACGTCACATAGCACCCAAGAACGAAGCACACTACAGTTACAATAAGAGCAGCCGCCTTTTCGTAAATAGGGATGGCTCTCCACATCTTCTTAAGATAGAATACGATTGGGAGCAGGATGCAGTTCGTAGTGATGCACGATGCTCCCACAAAGTCGGAAAAGTCCGAAAAGTGGTCTTGAAAAATGATGGAAAGCACGACCAGAACTGCAATCATGGCGACCCGAAGCGCGATATACTTAACGGCGTTCTTCCCACCACGGTACTCTGCTGCTTCGGCCTCCGGGTCGTCCTTAAATTCACGCTCGCTGTCAGCCACAGACACATAAGACATCTTGGAGCTGAGGCGAGATTCAATTCCCGGCGTTTCGGATTCCGCGTAATTCAAGCCCGTCTCCATGTCTGAAGTTGCCTTCTTGTGCATCCCCAAAGCCAACCGCTCGGCAATATAGAAAGCGGGATTGATCAACACAGAGAACGCGATCGTGATATGCAGCTGCATGAACAGGTAGGCCAGCACGACGGCGCCCCAGCTCGGTTTGAAACCCAATGTGGTCATTCCGGTGGTTGAATCCGGATAGATGGTAAATAGTAAATTGCCCGAAATCTGGCAGCCCACAGCCGAGTATGCCGTCGTGGCAAGAATTAAGAAGAGACATGAGATGAAGCACACGGTAACCAGCACGACACGGGGCATGCGTGTGGGGTCACTGTGTTGACGCTGGAGGTCCGGGATGACAATACCAGCTCCATAGGCCAATGCCAAATTACCGAAACATCCCAGTACTTGCGAGATCTTTAGATCGGGTGATGGGACGGTAGGGTGTCCGCGCATACCGTACATGACGACACCCACGCCGATCGCATCTGCGATGATGGTACCCATGCAGCCAACAAAAGCGGCCCCAGCCCCCTCCTTGAGTGTCGGGATAAGGCATACAGGCAACACCATGAGGGCCATGAGTATGATCCACACGGTGGCGCTAAAGGCGTTCGGGAAGAGACCGTCAAGGAGAGAGCCACCAAGAACCAGGAAGACACATGGAATCAGCAGGCATGAACCCATCTGGGAGATGACGCACAGCCAGCGACCCAACTGCCCCATGCTCCACTCGCCTAAGTCTCCGAAGGTCTTGACGGACTTGGGAGCGAGTAGAATGACTCGGGACATCTTGACGGACGCGTACATGTTGGCGAAGGCCATGAAGGCCATGGCAATTAAAGCGATCAATGGGCCGGCGCGTGAGAAGTTGCCCGGCATTCCAAGAGTCCCGATGCCGTACATGCAGCAGAAGAGGTTGAAGGATGTCTTGGCGTCCTCGACAGTGAAGAAAGGCATCTTTTTCGACAGCGTTGGAGGCCGGTGATGCAAAATGCAGAATGGCTGATGTTAGGCCGCGACAAGAAGTCGGTTGTAGTGCAGCGAAACCTCCCGACGTTGGGCTGGTCTCACCGGATGATGGACTCTTCCAACTAGCAAGACTGTGCATAGAGGGGGCTATTGTACTTGCTTAGCTAAATAAGTACTCTAGAAAACAAAGTCGTAAATTGCATTATTGCATTAAAAATGGCACACGAACACTACCAGGAACACATGCAACCAGGTTACTTTACAGCAGATCCTGTTGACCAAGTTGCTGCACTTACTGAGGTCACACGGATCCGCTCGTCGAAGCCCGACGAGCTTGAAGTACCGTCGATTTGACCCCCCCCCCCCCGTGAATGGGTTCTTATGCTTACATTCGCTTTAAAGTTAAGAAATTGTAAGTGGCAATATCCCTCTTTCGCCGAGTCTAAAATTTGTGTAGTTTTCGTCATGACATTGGCGTGATAAGTCGCCTTTAAGTAGACAAACTTGCAAGTTTTGAAACGTGCTTTCGAGCTCAAAATCGTGATTCCAATATCATACATTGCACTGTATCTGTACTGAAGTAAATAAAGGTTATCGTTTCCCAGCCAAAATCTACAGCGAAGTCCGTTGAGAAGGCACAGAGCGTTTAAATATTCTGTCATTGGGTCGGTACAGTAAAGATACTGATGGATTCGTCTGCCATAGCAAAATCGATCTTCAACATGTTAGATTTCAGACCGGCTTGAATCAGATATGCTCTTTCATACTTGTAGGCTACAAGTCGTAGCACTGTATCGCACCCACCATATTTATTTTTCGCAAACGAATGCTATTGGAGTTATTAGCATTAGCTCTGACTATGTAGTAATAACGGCTTTGAGACGAAGAAGGTGTGAATACTTCTACAGTACTACTACACCATTTACCAGGCTAATTGGTCGAGCAATGATGGGCAGGTTATAAAACAGAAAATGATTATTTATTCAAAGGTTTAACGTAAGTGGTTTTGCCGTAAATCGTTACCAAGCAGGGTAGTTTTCCCATCTTTGATGATCAGAGCCAAGTTCTCAAAGTAAAAATAAAATGCCTCGAAGCAACTTAGAGGTCTATGATAGACCTCTAAGTTGCTTCGAGGCATTTTATTTTTACGATAGACTCTATCGTGATAACGAAGAGCTTCCCAGCTGAGACACACTCAGTCTGAGTGTGTTTCATTCCCCAAAGAGCGAGTTTGCCGAAACGCTGGTCTGTACTACACAGACTCTGTAGTAGCGGTGACCGATATAAACCGGTACATGTATTGTACGTTTCATGCATTTTGGCGGAGACCTTGCTTATCTCAACGACTTATCAAAGTTGGAACAGCGATTTAGTCACTTGACGAGTAACATATTTAAGGGGGTTGACGACTTTGAGGACGAGTTGGGCTCAGATAATAACGAATGGCGGACATTCGAACCGCCATTCGCTGTCTAAACTCATTAAAGTCTCTGATATCAACTGCTCAAGGCTCTGACAAGCATGACCAAGTCAAGTGATCTTCGTTGGCGGGCGGTATCATTGATACATGTTTACGACGTTGATATCGCGCATGTTGCAAGCATTCTCGGTGTATCGAAAAGGTCCATAGAGAGGTGGTATGGGTGGTTTCTCAATCGAGGTACTGTCGAAGGAAAGGGTCGGAAGCAACGCACGTCAAGATGGCCGCAAAACGTGTGCCAATTTGTTCGTGAATATGCTCAGTCTCACCCGTGTTTCTACATCGACGAGCTGCGGTCAGCACTGAGAGCTCGCTTCCCTACACTGAGAAATACATCCGAAGCTACTATCTGTAGAGCCCTCCGCTTCGACCTGCACCTCACGCGCAAGGTGCTCAGCAAAGAGATCATATCCTGGTAAACCCAAAACTGACCGAACCTCTTGGATGTTTAGGTCGATAGGTACTAGCACGCCGTTAGTCATGATACGGATACGACGAGTCTCCGCATTTGCTGCGCTTGTCGCCGCCGCAACTTCGTGCTGGTGTTGTCGAGCGCGAGCGTCAATGTAGTTTAGCTGACGGAAGGTCTCGTTGTTCGGTTGAACAACTGGAGCATCGTCATGTTGCCGCGCTTGTACAGTTGCCCAGTACTCGAGCGATGCTGGCCCTGGGGCCTCTCGGTTTTCACTTCTCAAGGTCTCCGCTATATTGCGAGAGGCCTGGGCCATACGGACAGCTGTTGCCCGATGGATTGGGTTTGATTTTTTGACCCGGTTGACGTACATGAACAGAGCTAGCCGCTGGCTTGGACTCTACTTCTACCCCACACCTTCCGCAATAGCTGTAAGAACGCTTCTGCGTCCTCGGGTAGACGCTTGTAGTCACTTTGTCGGGCGTTCACAGTGGCTTTAATGTAGACGCCAGCATCCGCTGGCCAAGTCACAGCCGAGTCGTCCTTCACCAAGAGTCGCAGCTTCTCCTTAAGTACTGCGTACCCTTCTTCAACCGAAAAAGTAATAGCACGTCGCGATCCGTGAACCGCTCTACAGTCTGTTAGAGGCTCTCCGATCTTAAAAGTCACCTCTGTGTCGCACTCGTGGCGAAGCTCGCGTAGAGCAGCCTCCATTCTCTAGTTGCTCTCGATGATGAAACTTTTCGTCTGAATAAAAAAACAACGAGTTGGTCGTTTTATGGAAAGCGATTTATGTAAATAGCAACAACGACTTAGACAGCGAATAGAGCGCGCAAAATCAATGAAGTGGACAATACAGTACATCTAGTTTGTGCGATCAGCAAACATGTTAAGATTACATGTATTATATACGTACTACAGATTATACTTACTGTAGTACTACTGAATATTAATACAAAATACTGTACACGTAAACCCACTCTATTTTACTACAGTATATTGCAAGCTCTGTTAAGTACTACCTACTTAGTTGGTGCTGTTGCGCACATAGTAGGGCTCGTCTTGGAATTCCGTCTCGCAGTACGGGAACAAAGTGTCATCGTCCGACGGCGTGAAGAGCTGCTTACCGGCGTGGATCATCACGTAGCAACCAGTGACGGCGCACACCACAATCACCAGCATGGACGCGCCCTTGTCCAGGAACGACATACTCTTCCAGAACACTCGCAGGTAGATGATCAATGGCAACAGCAAGCAGCTCGTCGTGTGGGCAGTGGCACCGGTGAAGTCCTCGAGGTCGAGGAAACGCTTACGCGCCAGCACAGCGATGACCACCAAGATCGCAATGATACAAATACGAAGAGCAATGTAACGCAGCGGGTTGTTGCGGTAGGGTGCGTGGAGTTCCTCCTCCGTGATTTCCTCACCGAACTCCAGAGCCACTCGCAGATGCGACATCCGACCCTCCGTCTTCTCGACCAGACTCGACGCAGACACCTGACGGTTCGCCGTGTCCATGGGGGTCGAGCTCTGCATGTACGAGCGCTTCTCCTGAACCTCCAAGTCAAGATCGACATTGGCCTGGTCAACTTCACCGTTGAAGCGAATAATCTCGGGACTCTGGTGCATGCCCAGAACCAGGCGCTCGGCCATGAAGAACGGAGGCATCATGAGCGTCGAGAAAGCGATGGAAATGTGCACCTGCATAAATAGATACGCCATCACCACCGCGCCACGGTCGGCGCTGAAGCCCAGAGGGGCCAGACCAAGAGGGTCCGACTTGTTTACGATCGAGTACAGAATGTTACCGGAGAGCTGACAACCGCCGGCAGTGTAGCCAGCAAGAGCCACAGCGACAAAGAAGGCGGAGATGAAGAGGATGGTGATCACCACCACCCGCGGCATGCGCTGAGGCTGCGAGTGTTCGCGCTGCAAGTCGGGCACCACAATAGCAGCACCGTACGCTAGAGCAAGGTTACCAAAGCAGGTCAGAACCTGGTGCAGCGTCACGTCCGGCTTGGGGATGGAATCGTGGCCGCGCATGTTCCACTGCAACACCGACACGGCGATGATGTCGGCGATGACCGTGCCCATGCAACCGGCAAAGGCCATGCCGGCACTCTCCTTCAGTGTCGGGATGAGACACACCGGGATGACCATGAGAGCCATAAAGATGATCCAGTAGATTTGGCTGAACGAATCCGGGAACAGCACGTCCAACAGCGTACTGCCCAACACGAGGAAGGCACACGGCACCAGCAGACACACACCCATCTGAGAGACCACCGTGAAGAAGCGACCCCACTTACCCAGAGCCCACTCGCCCAGGTCACCGTACGTCTTCACAGACGACGGCGCCACCAGCATCACCTTGGACAGCTTGAGCGTGGCGTACGTGTTGGCGAAGATCATGAAGGCCAAGGCGATGGAGGCAAACAACGGACCGGCACGGGTATAGTTGGACGGCATGGCCAGCGAGCCGATACCGCAGACGCAGCAGAAGAGGTTGAAAGACGCCTTAGCGTCCTCCATAATGAAGAACGCAGTCTTGCCGTTTGGGGTCGACATCGCGGAGAGGAAGAAAGTCGAGCTGCACGATGCGAGACTTCTGTTGTTGCTTGTCGGACTTCTCCGAGAGAAGAAAAATACAAAGTGAACGAGTTAAAGCACTTCGTGCACACGGCTCAGGTCATTTCTCTATTTTGAACTCAGTGAGAACGGCGGCAGAACAGAGCCGATCCTTTTTTGCCTTGTATCGGCATACAGCTCCATACTGGGCGCAAGTATCGGAGTGTCGAGGCCAACATGGCTGCAATCATCAATGCCAGGGATTTGGCCGGTCATGTCCCTTACCGGTACTTGCAACAAGTTGCCGTTGCAGCCAGGGCGAGATACGGAGCAGCAGATGAAGACAAAGTCCCAGCGCAGCAAACCTCAGCTTTAGGGATGAACATTCAGTTACTACTTGGGATGCTTTGTCAGCCACTCGACTGCCACAGTGCTCACTTAAAGCCTGGTGTTGGTAAACGAACACTCCATGTATAACCGAGTCAGAGCTAACATGTTAATGCGTGCATTTAGCTCGTGTTTTGCTTT